CCGTGCTTCTGGTGTGTATGCTTAGTGTATTTTTTGGCTTAAGGAGTTGGTTACGGGTTGACCCGTTTTGCAATCTTGTCCGCCAAGCCCGACAGTCTGCCTGCTTTAACGCTGTGTAAACGTTTTCAAGCTTCCAGCTGTCTCAGCCTCTCAGGTGTGAGATTATTCCTGCAAGCCAACCCAGATGGAGAGAGAAAAAACTGTAGTATTTTGGGGGTTTTTTGTGGGTTACCCCGGGGCTGTTTGTCTGAGGGGGGAACCAACAAACCCAGCCGTGCGTCACGCTTTACCCCCAGTCACCCCAAAAATACCAGGCCTGCGTTAGCTCCCTAAACCCTTCTCCATTTTATTTCCCTGCATTACTTTGCCGGGGGACCGGGTCAAAAAATTTCTTCTGTGCACAGTTTTATTTAAAAAAACCCCCTAGTCCCGAGGTCCCTAATGGTATTTTGTCCATTTTTCGGCGAATTGCAAGTGTTCGCTGAGGTCCGCTTTTGTCAGTACACTCTCCACTACGACCTTTTTCAACATTTTTTTCCGTATTTTTACGTGTTTTAAAAACATTTAAGACCCTAAATGAATATAGGCTAATGAACTGTGTTCCAAAATCTCTTTTTCCCTTATTTTTTCTTCTTTTTATTGACATTCCACAATCCCTTCAGTGTTGTATAATCTTTTTCGTGTTATCCTAATCCCTATATTCGGTTTTTTTTTTTTATTCTCAACATACACAAGTACTGAGGAACCCCACATTTTTCATTTAAATTTTTAAAAAAAAATGTTGATCTTCTCAGCCCTTTTTTGCGTTCCCAACGATTTTTGACTCCCTAAAAATATGACCACTCTGCTATGTAAATCTCACCTACAGAGTTGGAGTTAAAAGTACAAAAATTGTTTAGAGAACGTTTAAAAAAAAAGTACTCAACTAGTCATTTTATTTGTGGTTTCAAAATTTTTTTGTCTGTAAATTTTGAATTTCCTCGGGTTTGATTTTTAAAACAGTAAAGCTTTTGTGCACCAATCTTTTTTTTAAAAACACTTTTTCCTGAAAATAAATTTTAGAATCCGTAGATCATGTAAACAAAAATCGATTGTTCTAATTCCTATTGTTTATTATATTTTCATTAATTCTGTGATCCAATGATTTGTGTTTTTTCATAATTGTAATTATTACATCAATTACAATCCATTCCATTTAATTAAAAAAAATTTATAATAAGTAATACAAGTCATTAAATTTTATTATGTACCCCTATGGGGGATTAAATCGGGAGTATTGAGAGATTTAGAGCAAAAAAAAGGGGAAGCTAATGTTAAATAATCAGTTAGGAAGGAGAAAAGAGAATATAAATTTTAAATTCAAAAAAATTATGGGATTAAAGTAAAGGTTGGATGCGAGAAGTGGGTCATAAAAACGTGTAGCACCTGGAGAAGAGGGAATGCAGAGGGAGAGGAGATTTTGGGAGATGTTAAGTAAATTTTGGACCCTTTTTGGAACCAATTGAGAGAGTAATTGTGGTAGGGGACCTGAATGCTAAAGTAGGAAAACTTTTGAGAGGGTTGTGGTAGGTAATTTTGGGGGGTGCCAGGTGAAAAATGATAAGGGGAGCCTTTGATTAATTTTGTATAAAAAGGGGGTTTTATTTATAGGTAATACATATTTTAGAAAAAGAGGATAAATAAGTATACAAGATAGTGTGGGGCGAAATGACAGTAGTTTTTTGGATTATTTTTGGGTAGATAAAAGATGTTGAGTAGACCTCAGGAGACATGTTTATGAGGGGACACAGATATTAGAAACTTTCTAGTTTGTAGCTCAGAGATAAAAGGAAAGGGGGATAAAAGGAGAATAGAAGCATCAGGGAAGGAGTGGTAAAGGGGTTTTTTAAAATTTTAAAAGGGAGGCAGTTAGGTAAGATATAAACAGCTATTGGGGGTTTTGGGGGCTAATGAGGAAGGCAAGGGGGTCGAAGAGGTTTGGGGTAGGTTTTAAAAATGTGTGTTAGAGTGTTCAGAAAAAGTTTGAGGTTCAGGAAAGTGGGGCAGGAGGGAGAGGAGCGATTGGGGGAAATGATGATGTGAAGAGAGTATTTAAGGGGAAAAGTTGTATGAAAGTTTTTTAAAAGAGAAGTGATGAAAGGGGGGGAAGGGTATATGGAGAAAAAAAGAGAGGGGTTTAAAGAGAGTGGTAAGCAATGTAAAAAAAAGAGCAAATGAGAGAGGGGGTGAGTTTTTTATAAACAAATTTTTTTGAAAATAAGAAAAAGTTTTGGATGAGATTAACAAGTTAAGAAAGCCAGAGAACAAAAGGATTTTTTCAGTTTTAAAAAAGAGGGAGTTATTAAATGGAGGTTAGAGGTATTGGAAGAGGAGGGAATATTTTGAGGGAATTTTTAAATGTTTTGAAAATAGGGAAGCTGTGATTCGTGTATAGGGCAAGGAGGAAAAAATTGTAGGAGTGAGGGAAAAGCCAGTTTTGAGGGGGGGGAAGTTTGTGAGGCAGTAGGTTAAAAGAAAAGGGGGGAAGGCAGCCGGGATTGATGGGTTAAAAATAGAATATTAAAAGCAGGTGGGGATATAGTTTTGGAGGGTTGGTGCAATTTTAATAAAGTATGGAAGAGGGTAAAGGGACCTAGGGTTGGCAGAGAGCATGCATTTTTCCTTTGTATAAAAGGGAAAAAGGGGAAAAAAAGAGGTGCAAAATTTATAGGGGGGGAAGCTGTTGAGTATACCTGGGAAAGTGTTTGGGAGAGTTTTTATTTTAAAGAATTAAAAGTAAAATGGAGAAAGGAAAGCAGATGAACAAGGAGGCTTTTTGGGAAAAGGGAGGGGGTTGGGACCCCGTGTTTTCGTGAAATTATAAGTGAACGTATTTAATAAGGCTAAAGAGGTCTTTTTGGGTTTAGGATTTGGAAAAGGGGTATGACAGGGGGATGGGAGGCAATGTGGCAGATGTTGCAGGTGTATGGTGTAGGAGGTAGGTTACTGGAAAACGTGAAGAGTTTTTACGAGGATGTGAGGTAAGTTAGATATGGGAGAAAGAGGGAAAAATTTTTTCCCGTAAAAAATAGGCCTAGACAAGGATGTGGATTCACCGTGGTTGTTTATATATTTATAATGGGGTTGTAAGAGAAGTAAAAGCGAGGGTTTGGGAAGACGCGTGGAGTTAAAGATAAAAAATCAACCCTAAATGGGAGTTGTCAAGTTGCCTTTGCGATGACATTGTCTTGGGAGATTCTGAAAAGAAATTGGAGATTGGTGGGTGAATTTTGGTAGGGTGTGCAAAAAGAAAATGAAAGTGAAACAGGAAAGAGTAAGGTTTTGAGGATAACAAAAAATTAGGGGATGAAAGATTGGATATCAGATTGGAGGGAGGGTATGGAGGAGGTGAAAGTATTCGATATTTGGGAGTGGACGTGCAGCGGATGGGTCTATGAAATAGGTGAATCATAGAATTGATGAGGGGGGAAAAGGGTGAGTGGTGCACTTATTAGTCTGTGGAGAGAAGAAAATTTGTCCTTGGAGGCAAAGGGGAAAGTATGAGAGTATAGTTTTACCAACGCTCTTATATGGGTTGGGCAGGGTGATGAATGTTGAGCGAGGAGAAAACGGAGGGAGTGGGGATGTCCCTTTTTGGGGCAAAATGTGGTGTGATATAATGCAGAGAATTGTGTTTGGAAGTTAGGGGGAGGTCGGGGATTACCAAAAATGTTGTCCGGGGCTGGGAAAGGGGTTTTTTTGGGGGTTCGGACATGTAGAGAGAATGGGGCGAAACAGAATACTTTAAGAGTGTTCAGTCTGTGTGAAAGGAAGGCGGGGTTTGGGGGCCCTGGAAAGTTTGGGGGAGGGGGTAAAGGAGGTTTTGTGTGTGAGGGGCTTGGATTTCCGCAGGCATGGGTGAGCGTGTTTTAAGGGTGAATGGAGACAAATGGTTTTTTTTACTTGACGTCTGTTGGGGTGTGGGGAAAATAAAATTTTTTGAAGGATCAAAGGGGGAAATGGCAGGGGGGACTTTAGTCCCGGGAGGGAAGTACGGTGCCTGCACTTGAAAGAGGGGTTTTAATGTTGCAGTTTAAAAACTGTGTGTAAAGCCCCTTTGGCAAGACAGTGATGGGGAAAAGATGGGAAAGTTTTTCTTTTTCGGGCCACCCTGCCCTTTGGGGGGGAATCGGCCGTGTAAATAAAAAAATTTCCCTTTTTACGTGTATCTTTTTATTAGTATTGTACAGAAAGCCCCCGAGCCTGACAAAACTCTTGTCTATTTTTTTAAATTTCCTGTATGTGGGGATCCACACCTTAGCATTGCTGAGCGTCTAAGTTTCGACAGTAGGGGATGATACCCAAAGGCTTCAACTACTGCAGATCAGCAAAGTTGAAAGCTTGATGCCTTGCTGTGAGGGCCGAGCAGGAAATCAGGACTTCAGCCACAGGTTTGGGTTCCCACTTATATATTTTCCCAAAAATATTCTGTATAACGTTTTTCAGTGAGTTATTTCGTCTCATCCTTATGACCCTTCACATATAAAATAACCCCCCAATAGCCATCAACCCACAACAGTCATTCTAACATAACCCATAACAGTCATCATAGCAACCCACAATAATCATCGTAACATAACCCATAACAGTCATCGTAACATAACCCACAACAGTTATAGTAACATAACCCACAACAGTTATCGTAACATAACCCATAACAGTCATTGTAGCATAACCCACAACAGTCATCATAACAACGCACAACACAGTAACATGACCACACCATTCATCGTAATATAACCCATAACAGTCGTCGTAACATAACCCATAACAGTCATCGTAACATATCCCGCAATAGTCATCGTTACATACACAATCACGGTATTGTGTCTTTGGTTATTTATTGTAACATAACCCATTATTTATCATAACATATTCCATAACAGTCATCGTAACATAACCCACAATAGTTATCGTAATATAATCCATAACCGTCATCGTAACATAACCCACAACAGTCATCATAACGGACACTCACCCACAACAGTCATGGTGGCAACGTCAGACTCGGTGTGGAAGTCCGGTGCCTCAGCAGACACCTCGCAGCGGAAAACTCCTGACGCTCCGAGAGTCACATCATGGATCTTGACTTTGCCTCTGTTCGAAGCAGCTATGTCTACTGTCAAGGGGTCGCCCTTAACTGGGAATGTTTTAACTGGAGGGTTCTCAGCTGGCGTCCAGCGGTAGAACTCGTCGAGGCCCAAGTACCACTTGAGAGCGTAGATGCTCTCACCCTCATCCACAAACTCACACTCGAGCCAACCTCCTTCCCCTACCGCTAAGGGAGTCGGAACTCTAACCTTGGTGATGTGAAGACCAACAATAACATCTGCAAATAGAAAATTTAGGAATTAATGTTTCTGAGAACTTACAACATTTAATAGGAAAGAATATTCTTTATCATCAGTGATACCTTAAAACTTGTTTGGTTTAAATACCATCGACTGCACGACTCTTAAGTCTGTGGTTTACCTTACACTAACATCATGAATACCTTAATTCATAAAATATATTAAAGTAAACTTTCATTTTTATTGCACTGACTTACGGACACAACGATGTACTCTATATAACCTGATCAAGATTTATTAATTTTAAATAAAGGGCGTATAATTTAACAGGCATAAAAAGAATTGCTACTGTTTCTGTGTCTTTGATAAATAGTTTCCTGGTATTATATGTCTTACATCAAAGGGACAAATACTTGTTTAAAAGTGCAACACTTATTTTCAAGAAAGTTCGACCAATGAAAGGTTTTGTGCCCAGCACTGTCTTGCACGGTGTAAATGGCTATTTTTGTGGAAAGAGGGAAGTATAGTCCTTCTTCACAAAGAGAAAACGAGAGCAGAAATCAGCAACTATGGATCAGTGTCACTCCTGTCAATCACTGTCTTGATCCTTAAGACAATAATCTCACGGCAGATGAGAGAGTTTTCGATTACCCTTCACTTTGTGACAGTCAGAATGGCTTCAGAAAAGGTTACTCTGCTGCTGATCTGTTGTTAACCCTCTCCACTAAGTGGCACCAATCACTGGTCCAGTGCTGGTGCTTTCGACCATATATGGCACCAGGGACTCTTGACAAAACTGAAAGCGCTGGAAATTGCAGGATCTACACTGTCTCCTCAGTGATTGCCTTCAAGTGTAGTTCTCAATGGGACAGAGTCAGTAAGATATCCTATTGAGGTAACTGTTCACAGGGAAGCCTGCTTGGGCCTTTGATATGGAATGTCTACTTCAGTGACTTTCTGAATCTTTTCTCGAATCCCATGCATACGTAGATGACTGCACTCAGCTGTCATTGATGTAGAACAGCTGCTCTGTGCTACATTAATCAAGGGCTAAAAGCTGTATCAGCATAGGGAAATCGATGACAGGTAACATTCGCTCCTGAGAAAACACAAATGATGATGAGTGTTGTTACCTGAGGACGAAGTTGATATCCTTGGGGTGAAATTTGATTCCAAACTGACATGAACAATATCGTTGTAAATCTTGCAAACAGTGTGGTCAGAAAGCTTACAGCACTTCGACATATCTCGCATCTGCTCGACAGTAGAGGTTGCAAGATTCCGTACGAGGCACAAGTACGCTCACACCTTGAGTATGCTGCACTTTCTAGAATTGCCGGCCCCCCATATCATCTGCAACTTCTTGACAGAGTAGAGAACAAAGCAAGAAGCCTCATCTCTCGCCTGGATCCAGCCTGGATAGATCTGTCATTTCACCACAAGAGTCTTCAACACCGAAGGGATGTGGGCGGCCTTACTTTTATGTACAAGGTACACATTTGGCTCCACCCCGAGGACAGCGAGAAGTAGGCTTCTACATAACAAGACAGGTAGCAAAAAGCATCTACACTCTGACTGAACCCTTCTCCAGAACATCGTTACATTTGAGATCATTTATTCCTAGGATGATTCGAGACCTGGGAGTATGTTCGTACTGCATGATAATATCAGCGAAATAAAGTCAGTTGATCAAATGAAATTTTTGGCCCACAGATGGCTCCAATTTCATCCTGTTCCCTATTTCTAAGTCTCATAACAATAAAAAGACTTAAATAAGCTGATGTAGGTAACAGCTCTTAGCTTGTAAAAAAAGTTGGAATCCTTACCCTAAAACCCTGTTTTTAA